ATTAGTAAGCTGAACGAATACATTCTAGGTAAATTGCCCTCTCCGATCTTTAGCCGTAATTACGATGGATTTGGGTTCTTTCAACGTAAACCGCTCATTTGCATAAAGTATGTTCAGACGCCAAGTAGTAAATCACAACTCTAATAGTGATTACGTTAGCTGCAGGGAGTGTGTTGCATCTGATGTTAGATGCTTAGTTCAGGTTTGATCTTATCAATAATAAGACGATGTGATTATTGAGAGGGCGACGGGACGTCGAATGTATGCTTCATTAATAAGGACGACAGTGTTTGGACAATCGTATTGTCGATGGACATTGGGAAAGTCTCTAACCCCTAGACAACAATAGAAAACGGGAATTATAAATTATCTTATTCCCTGTAACATATTCGCACAGTTTGTTATATTTTTAGACAATGTCTCATTCAAAATGTAAAGTAAGGAGGTAGCTTACTTTGCATGTTACAGAATATTAATATTCGATGCGAATAAAGATTGGTGGTAAGTTGGGATTGGTACAGAATAGAATGGTCCAGAACAAGAGAATACCAAGTACGAGTAATGTATAATTTTATTTGTGACGTCACAAGGAATCTTGGCTTTTCTGTAAACAAAAACCAGAATCTTTGAACGTATCACCGTAGCTCAAAGTCTTTTGGTTCGATCGAGGGGTCGTTTTCACGGCAAAGGAATAAAACGCACTAATTTGAAGGTCACCAGGGAAAACGGTCATCACCGACATTATTGATTAGAGACTAGTTAAAAAAATCGTTCATTATCATAGCTTCTCTGATATGTCGATTTGTGCGACAGCTGTAAGTAACGCTAACACGACCTATTCCTATTGGATTACACCAAACGAACAAGCTCATCTGTCAAGCGTAAATCCGGATTAGAATTACTAATTAGTGAAAGAGAAAAGATAATTGGTGCCAATAAACTCGGTTTAGTGAAAGTGAGAGGCTTGACTGTCACGTAGAAATTTTATACTGAACAGGAATCAACAAAAGGAACAATACTGATCGCCATTCTGGAAAAACCCGTAACGGCCCGTAACATACCAAAAAGAAAGATATTGACTTGCGACACAACCCCTGGATGCTTATCGAGTAGCTTGAGAGAAAGTTTTTCAAAAGAAAGATCTTCCAATCAGATATCAAGCCTTGTGATCGTTCAAACAATTTTGGCAAAAATGGTGAAAGCCACGATGGATGCGTTGAAGAGAGGAGAAAAAAAAAGGTAGTGTCCTCCAAATAAAAGATGGCAGCTTATGATGTCATATGTTAACCTTCGCCTGCTTCTTTTGTTGCAGCACGCCCCGTGGGGTATTTTTACGAAAAACCGCATCGATTCTTACATAAGATACATATGCAGGCTCGACAAACGCCAGACTATCTATCCAACCAGTGCAGTGGCATACTCATTCGATTGCTTTGCCACAACGTTATTCTTGATCAGTCAACGTTCGATGGTCTTCGACAAGTCAACTTGAAAATCACAAGTGATGAGCTGAAAATCGATTTGTACTATATAAGATCCGAGGATGAGAAGGATGAAGAAAGAAAAAAGAGATGAGATTGTTCTGATCGTTCTGATAAGAAGGCACAACTGACATGTGAATTTCATGTTCATTATAATCTACGGTTCTCTGATTTCTCCCAAGAACATTGCTCCAGAAAAAAAAACTCAATATTTGCATCAAAATAGTTAGATGTGAGACTCGCATTTACGTAGACAGCATAAACATTTTACAAACGCCAATTCTTCTCTTTTCACACACACACTGAACTCAAGATCCCTTTCTCTCTTTCCTGTCCCTTGTCACCTTTCCCCCTCGACTTATCTGCCTGATGTCGTCACCACTAATAAACATTCATTTATCGTTGCATTTTTCATGCATGTCCCCCGAATATAATTGGAAATCCATTGCTTTCAGGGAAATAGAAATAAGCAAAATTGGTGGATGGTTACATACAACAAACTGATTTATATTGTATGCGTGAGGATACCCAATATGGAAAAGGGATAACGACTTTGAAATGGCCAGTCGAGTTTTTACTAGTAAACAAACGCAACTAGAGAAAATCAGGTTATGATGAATACAGGAGACTGGCAAGTATCATCTGCTTCTTGTTCAATGGTATTTCAGTACAACGGTTATCGATTGAGTTATCCATAGTGTGTTAAACTAGTTCAGGAAGTGTAACTTTCAAAAAGGATCAACACGAATACGAAAAGGTGTAAAACACCATTTTACTGCAAGTTTTCAGGTTCACCAATTGATTATCTATCATCACTATGTAAGTGTGATGATTCAGACTACTTTAACGGAACGGGCGTAGGATCTGCGAAAAAAGAACTCTCTCTCCCAACAAACCCTGCAGATCTTGCAAAGACCCACCTACTGCGAAGATCGACCTCAAAAGGCTGTTCTTTTGACCCGAACGTACACCTGCACTGACCCGCGATAAAGTAAATTTTTGAAAGAAACCTGCAGTCTTTCGGCAATGCCTGCGATTGTCCATTTAATTGATAGCCCTACATATAACCGAGAAGGTACAAATATTACATAATGTAAGTGTCGCAGCTGCTGTCCGCACGACTGTTATGCTGTTATTGCTCAATCATATCATTGTAGAGGCTTGGTCAATACTAAAATCGTGAAGGGATTTAATCCATTGTTGCATCTGCTTTGCAAGTTGGGGGGGGTGTCGATCTACGAGACGAGATTCCCGATAATGAGAATGAACGCAAGCGCAATGTCTATTGTTCTAATACGTTATAGATGATAATCATTTCGCAGCAAAACTGTTAAACTTTTCGTTAGCGTTGTTCACCGATATTAATATGGGATAGCGAACATTTATGAAACATTATTTGTAATACCGTGACATTGAGGAAAATCATTTCGTTTGTTCATACAATCTGCGATAACAATATCTTATAATAATTGCGACTAATCCTAATTAGCATTCGTACTACCGTTACGGTTCGCTGTTTGTCTCCGAGCGCACTCATTGACAATGAATGAGATTTCTCATTTGGAACAGCTGTAACATATTGCGTCTGCCCTTACTGCTGCTGTTTGTACATAGCAGAATAATACGGGAGAAATGTAAAAATAGAAACAATGGACACAAGACCTAATCTGGTATTAATATTCCACTTACAATATCAATATATATGGAAGAGGGGAGATATGGACATTTCGAAAGATTATCACAATCTTATACAGTACATGATTATTTGCTACTCAAAAATGTTCAATGTCCCTATCGTTCCTATCTATGTGATTATACATAAACCGTGTGATAACAATGAAATACAAGGATGCATTGACAGGTACTATACAGGGGGGGGGGGGATATTAAGGGGTGGGATGTGTGTAAAATGCGCCCGCTCTTATGTATATTCCTTATTTGTCATAGATTTTACAATAACAACATCAATAGATATTCCAATGTCTGATGGTTTAATCAATTTCTACACTAATCTTTATATTAATATTGATATTCAACAGTCTTTTTATCACACTTTCTTTGACATCACCTCCCCGTTCCCTCTTTCCGTCCGGTCTATCATCGAGCTAGGCTTTATTCGTCTGATGGCTGTTGTGCCGATCACTAAAGGCCAAAGCAAATATCGGCTCTTTCTGCATCCAGCCACAGACGGCCATTTGCATGCAATCGGCGGAAATCTATATACAATGAATATACTAGTAATACCCCCAGCATTGAACATATATATAACGTTTTCTTTGTCTTTCGCCCTTTTCGATGGTTATTATCATCCAATCAAGATAATATGCTTGGAGGTATATACACAAAGCGTCCAATAATCTCTACCAATTTATCCAAGTTGAAATGTTAGGTATATTCTTTTCTTGATTAATATTAGCGTTCTATCAACCGTCGTCATGTGGATGTCGTCCGACGTGCGTGGTATGCAGTGAATATGAGTAGACGTTCTACACAGACATATCATCTGTGGTCTACGATGAGTGGTTGGAAGGATATGCAGCCGAGAGAATTAAGGAATTGGCTGTGCGAGTAACAAGCGAGAAACGGGGTAAAGTGAGGTAAACAAAGGGAAATAATAGAAATGAATGGAAAAGCGAGAAACGAGGGGGATGTTGTCGAAATTATAATTGAGGAGGGGATATCAATCGTATGAGTATGCCGCATGCATATTGTAAATATAGCATTTATATATATGTATTATCTATTATTATAAATACGATAATTATCACATCAAATCTATTAAACTGTCTCACCTCAAAACCTTAACTAAATTGTACTTGTTTGTCTGCCTTTTATTCAATCTCGTGTGCTATACTTTCCTTACTGTTTTGGATTTGTGTCGTTACGTGATTGGTTACGGGAAAATGTTATACATCCCGTATGGTAAGTCTCTTTTTGCGTAACGAATAAACATATAGAACATAGTTGCAAACAACAAAGCCAAGGCATAAGTTGTGTGAATGAGGGAGTGAGTGAGAGAATGGATACAGGTACAATGATTGCGTATATGTCTCGCAAAGCTGTGTTAACTTCTAACCATATCCCTTGCATATAATACAGCGATTAACAATCATAACTATGTAATAATAAAGTAACATCTGTACTACATTAAGCACGTCCGAAATATTAAATACAAATGTATACAACGCATATTAGAAAAATATAGTGTATATCGTACAGCATGACACTATTACAGCATGTGATGTTTGGTTTTGTGATACACTACAATATATTTATGTATAAACAATACTATTTATATACCACCCAAGTTTATATATTATTCGGTCCATTCTTTCTTTCAAATGTCACATCGGCAATAATCACATAAACTCGGAACCACAGCACGATAAATACCAATCGTTCGCTATCCACACACTTTCACAAGACGTTTTTCGAAACCTCGCACACAAATAAGCACATTAGAGTTTACACATATATACTTCACAAAACATCCTCACACAACTGCGAGGAACACGCAATATGAAAGTAAAGGTAAAATCTCCCTTCTCTATATTCAAAAAGAAGAACATAAAAAACCCACAAGGACAAACAAGGGACATCAAGTCAAAACCTGTAATAGAAACCGAAGATAAACCACGCAAACCAACAGACTTGGACGAGCGTCAACTACATTCCCCCCCACAAATTCAAGAACTAAAAGCACAACTAGCCAACGTATCAAAGCAACACCAAATAGCAAATGACACTCTCTCATCCACCCAAAAAGAACTCTCGCAAGTACAAGAACAGTTACATTCCTCACAAACCGCACTCGTTCAGAAATCCGAAGAACTAAAAAAGACCGAAACTCAGGCCTCGCGAGTGCAAAATGAGCTCCGACAATCCCTCTCCGAAAGCGAAAAGTTAAAGTCTCAATTACGCCAAACACAAACAGACCTCCTGAACACGCAGACTCGGCTCAAATCCATAACAGTCGAACTCGAAAACAAAAAATCCGCCCTCGGAAAGAGAAATTCTGAATTCGGGTTTACGACCCCACAGCTAAATGACGCGAAATCAGACGAAGAGTTCAAACAATATTCTGAAAAGGTATTGGCCGAACTCAGTGCTACAAAATCGCAACTAAGCACAGCTCATAGAAAACTAGAAGAAAAACACGCCGAGTTACAAAAGACTAATTCCGAGTTAATAAACATCAAAGCACAGCTCAGCTCGTCCAACAGAGAGTTTGAGAAAACCAAACTATCGCTCGATAAAGCCAACTCGGAATTGTCTGCTCTAAAAAGCCAAACAGTTGCTCCGTCACCCGACATTGAAAAACTCCAAACTGCTAATGATCAACTTCAAGACGAACTGAAACGTCTATGTGCTGAATTCAACCAGCAAATCAAAGTTGCGAATGATGAACTCGAGCAGAACCGCTCTACTATTAGCCGTTTGACCGCAGAGATCCAAGATTTGGAAAACGATCTTGAAGAAGCAAACAATCGCTGTGTTGATTATGAGAACAAGGCCAAAATAGCTGACCATGAATTAAGCTCGGCCAAGGCACAAGCCGATAATCTGGCTAGCGAATTGGCCGAATCGCAAGCTCGACGCGAAGAGTTAGTGTCGGCGCTGGCTATTTTGAACAACGAGTTTGACAAGTTTAAGACTGAAAACAAGAGTTCGAACGAAGAAATCAAAGAGCTCAAATGTCAGATTGATTTGGTCAATCGAGAATTGGATTCGGAGAAAAAGAAAGCTATGCAACTGGAAAGGGAATTGGAAACAACCAGAGAAATGCTGGAGGCTAAGGATGATTTGGCAGAATTGGTTCTAAAAGTCAAGCAGGTTTGTATATTTGTAAACGACGCGCACTTCACCTCTTCTCCCTCTTTTTTTTTTTTTTTTTAACATTCCTTTTTCTTTTTTTAGGACGAGTGGAAAAAGACTGTCGAATCGCTACGCGAGGAGGTTGCAACAGTCAGCAAGCAGCTCAACGCAACTAAACGGGAAAAGAAAAAGCTTAACCAAACTAATAAAGAACTTAAAACACAAGCCGAGACTCTTTCCCAAAAGAAAGTTCAAGAAACCACGCGGGTGCGCGAACTTGAAGCCGAGAATTTGAAACTTCGGAAACAGGCTGACAAGGCAAAAGATCAAGGTATGCTCAAAGAAAGAAGAAGAGGAAAAAAAGCAATTCCCTCCATGGTTAACTTACAATTAATCTCTTCCCCTTCTTAACTTAGCCCGCCAAGTTGAAGAGCTGAAGGCTGAGTTGCAGGCATTGAAGAACAGCAACGGTTCGTCGAGATCACGCCGTAGCCGTCGCCGTTCTAATTCTACCGAGAAACCACGTACGCCAGACTCTTTTACAAAAGACGAGAAACCTCCCACTCCACCAGAAACACCACGCTCAGA